CGGAAACCCTAAAAATGCAAGATTCGTGATCAAAAAACACCAATTTTTTCAACTATTTAATCCGTGTAAAAGCTGAATAAAGCTGTTTATAGCCTGCAAATTAGATCACATGCCAAAAAAAACAAGAAAAATGATCAAAAAATGACAAATTTCGAATAATCCCGTGAAGAACACTGTGCAACCCGTGTTCTTCACGGGACTCGCCGATTCCGTACAATGAATCGGCGAGTCACTGTGCAGAATCGTCTGATTCTCTCTAGAACCGGACGATTCCCGTTTTTTATAGCGATTCGATCCCTCCATGGCGATTCTCGAGTCGAACCGGGCGAGTCCGGTTCGACTCTGCGTTTTTTAAACACTGCTTGTAAGAGATGAAGTACTTAACATTTTATTCGAATATAGCTATTCTAACACAATACCATATAATTTTTTTAGGTATTTCAAAATTAAATAAAAAGATATGAGTAAAATGTTAAATTGTTATCATGAGTCCTTGATAAATTCCCCTCTCTTTTCTCTAACCCCAATTTCCCAAAGTCCACAAACTCCATTAATCTTGGAACCATATGCAAGTAATTATTTTTAATGACATGGCCCAATCGAAGACCGCGGTCTCCATAAATGGAGGGCTGAGATGAGCTGCTGCGTTTTGACAAAATAAAAAAGTGAAAATCAACTCATCTATACTATCTATTAATTCAAAAGATGTAGTTTCCATAATGCCTATGAAATTTGAAGCTCAATAAATGGTACGGATCTGAACACATGATAATGTATAATTTAGATGATGTGTTACAATATACACTATTTTTAAATTACAAATCCTAATTTTATTCACAACCACGATGGTCAATGTCTGAGAACGGATTTAAAGATTTTTCCACAGAACTACAATTTTCGGTGAGGGTTTACTTTTTCCCAAAAGGCCTCGGCCTTTTTTAACCATTTTCCTTATTTAAATGGACGGTAGATCATGGAACTGGTTCTCTTCAACAACACGTGTGCGATCGTTTTCTCCCTCCACTTTTGCGTTTTGTTTCATTTCCCTCCAAAACCTGAAAAATCTCACTTTGGGTTTAGGGTTTAAACCTTTCCCCTACTAAATCTCACAAATTAAATCCATTGCTCTGAAACCTAAAGCATCTAGAAACCCTATCTTCACCTAAATTTATTCAAAAAAATGTCTCCATAGATGCAAAAAACTCCATTGATGTACCCTAATTCACTGGAATCCCTGCAAAACATCCCATAAATTAAACCCAAAACCAGTTAATTACATTAACCCTAGGTCGCCATTCTCAAACCTCGGCCTAACGCATATTCTTTGTGAAAAAATGGCTCTAACTAGGGCTTCGACTCAAAGCTTGAGAAATCAGAGCAAAATTACACTGCCACTTCAATATCTGCGCTTCTATGGTAGGGTTTCAGCTTCTTCATCATCGTCTCAGTTTTCGAAAGAGGTGGTTGCAGAGAACGATGCACAAGATGTTCAATCAGAAGGGATCAGCCGTCCATTATCTGAGATCCTCAGAGAACTGAACAGGAAAATTCCTGATTCATTCATAAAGGTCAGAGTGGAAGATGGGTTCTCCATCAAATATGTTCCATGGTAAGAAAATGCATCGTTTCCCCTATTTTCTCTCCGTTTCTGCATTGTATTATTTTCCATTAATGTATTTTATTTCATTTGTTTCTCTAATTATCCAGTGTAATTGCTCATTAATCAAAATGTTGATTAGACTTTCACTTGATCAAAATTATTTCTATCTTCTAATGTGACTATTGATTGTTATAGTTTAATTGGGCCCTTGTTTTGGGGTTTAGAGCTAACTATGGAGCTCTGGATTTACTAGGCACTGGGATTTAGGTGTGAATTTGTGGTCCAGTTGGGCAATTGATGATTAAAATGTGATGCTTGGCTTCGTCAGACAGACGCAAATTTGAAATCACATTTGCTATATATTTTGTTTGGAAGGTTATGATTGTTATCTAACTGACAAAGGAAATGAGTAGGCATATTAGTTACTGGAACTTAGGCTAGCACTTTCATGCCAAGCATTTCACTTTCTAGGCTCTCTGCATTCATTACTTAGCTTACGTTCAATCTCTCTTTCTCTCTTTAGGCTAGCACTTTTGCGCCAAGCATGTCACTTCTAGGCTTTCTAAATTTATTACTTGGCTTAAGTTTAATCTCTCTCTCTCTCTCTCTCTCTAGGCTAGCATTTCGCACCAAGCATTTCACTCTCTGGGCTCTCTGTGTTCAGCACTTGGCTTAGGTTCAATCTCTATCTCTCCCCCCTCCCCCTCTCTCTCTCTATCTCCCCTCCTCCAGCAAACAAAGGCAAATACAATGTTTTAGTTTCACTTATTATTCTCTTATTAGCTGCACATAGTAGGCATTCCAAATCCCTTAGCTTATTTTAAGTTTAGCCCGTCTCTCTCTCTCTGTTTAATTGTGTAAGATGAATGGTTATTGAAATTATTCCCATTTGAGGCGGTGCCATTTCAAATTTGAAGGTTTTAGAGGTGATGCGGCATTTTGGATGTTATATATTGCAGTGTTTCAAAAAATGGAATTGGGCTTCGACTTGATAGGAGTTTGAGTCCTACTCCCCTGTTCATGCTTGGGTAAGTCGGAGTCGGACCAGGCTATATGAATAGAAAAACGATTTTAAAAGTACTGCAAAACTGAGGGACAAGGATGATTCCAGGATTTTTCAGCCCTGAACTGGCAGCCTCTCGATGCAGTAATTCCTGAGTCGGACAGGCAATTTTTGGAACCCTGATATATTGTATGCAGCACTTGAAACTAAAAAATGGCTTTTGTGGCTTGAAATAGGGAGTGGGGTAGTCCATTTATTAATATACAGGAATAACAGTTTCTTCCTGAGTCCCTTCTCCAATCGATTTTGGCCCGGTGAGTGAATGATGTCAATTGCCTACGCTATGGTTCCCCCCTCCTTACTCAGAGCTCAGAGAGAGCTGGCCCCCACCAGCTTACATACAAAAGCTTATAACCTGCTGGGGAGGGGTGGCGTGAAGGAAGGGCACTAGGGAATAAGCACACGAGAACAGACAAGTTGCGAGCTGCCTCTTCATCATGTGTTGAATCTATGATATATGATGAACTTGCTTGGAGTTCGATTAGAAAGCATCTTCATTAGTTGATAATGGTTTAGCTTGGCGTACTTTTTGGGAAGTTGCATGTGGAGTCAATTCTAGTGAGGTGACCTCCATTTTTTTGGGAAAGAAGTTGCAAGTGTCCACATAAAGGATTAGCGAGAAACACCTTCTGGTTAATTCCAGTGTTTTCGGAGTAAATCTTTATGCCATTTCAAATCTTGGGAGTTTTTTATGGCTTTAAATTTACTGACCCATTTGGCATATATTATATTTGTTGGAGTTTGACCCTTAGAAGTTTGCTCGTTGAATACCGATTCAAATTTCACAAAGAAAAAAGAAAAAAAAAAGGAATTGTACGTGTAAGCATATGTGTATCATGCATGTATGCAGGTATGAAAGTGTGTATGCGAACACTCGTGCCCCTGCACGGCTGTGAGTGTGAGTGTGCCTGTCATACACTTGCAATTGGAAAGGACATGGCTATAAAAGTTAAATGATTTTATTCTTTGTTTTCAAGCATGGTAGGCTACAAATCATCACAATAACTGTCTATCATGTTATAAAACGTTTTCTGAAAATTATGAATTGTTACATGACCTTAACTTGTAGGATGAATGGATGATTTGACCATTGTGTGCATTCATATACTTGCAGTCACTATGTAAATTGCGAGTTATTTGCAGGCTAGTCTGATCTTGATATCTGATTTTTTCGTAGAATTTCCTTTAAGATTTGGGGAAGCTATGTGATTCTTCTAGATTTGCTGCCTCAGTAGTTTGTGAAATACGATTTTTCTTTTTGCAGGCATATTGTTAATCGGATAATGAATCTACATGCTCCAGGTCTTCCCTTTCTCAAGTTATTCAAATCTCTTGTGCATAGATTTTCTTTCTTATTTTGTTTTTGGTTTCCAATAGGTTTTTTGGTTAAGCACATTTTTCTTGCAATATTATATATGAACTTCTATAGTTTTCTATTCTGACCACCTTGTTGTGATTTACTACTTACGACATCTTGTATGTTTAAATCTAATTTATGTTCTTTTTTTTTTTTGGAAAATGTCTTTACAAAATTACAAAGAACTTTAACTTTTATTATCTGATTGGTTGTTCAGTGTATACTTGCTTCTCTTAGTTTGACATTTTGCCATATATAATTGAATGTGGCTAGTAGAAAATATATTTTTTTGAGTGAATATTTATTGTTTTTAGAGAATATCTCTCTTCCAAAACTTCTAACCAACCATTGCTAGTGGAAAATATTTATCTCCTGGAACTTCCTTGGGTCATTAAGATCTAGATCTTTAAAGTATTCTAATTACTGCCAAATGAATATTTTACAAAAAGAGGTCAACCATGTTATGCTGTAGTTGTGATGACCCATTGTCATTGACAGTTAAAATATATTTTTTATATTTATCTTTGTGCAAAGTATTATTCCTTCATCTTACGTTGAATTACTGTTTCATAGAATGGTCTGGCGAGGTTAGGGGCATCACATATTCTGCTGATGGCAAGTCTGTCTCTGTTATATATCGTGTAACACTTTACGGAACTGATGCAGAGGTACTATTTAGTTCTTTGCACTCGATTATTATTATTATCTTTTTGTTATAGTGACCACTGCAATTGTAGTTGTCAAAGAACTTGGAATAAAAGTTGGAAATTGGTTGCATAGGGGATAAAATCCCTGGATAATGATTAATGATTTTATATGAATAGAAGCAGAAACATCGTAAAACAACTAATGGTTTTCTGTGAAAGAGTTTCACATTTAAAAAATTTGTATGTCGTGAATTATTATTTTCCTTGATTGTTGATTTTTTTTTGGGTCTGACAACATTGTATTGAAGGAAAAGAGAGTTGACTGTTGATTATTATTTACATATCTCTATCAGACTGAAACACATCGTGTTTGCTTGTATTGGTCGATGGGATATGAAGAGAATAAGCTCACCATTCATGTATAAAAGGAGTTCAGAACTTTGTTTTTATGTTTTATTTTTATCAAGTAATAGGTGCCGATCCCAATTAGTTGGGAGCTCTGATGATGATGATGAAGTAGCAGGCACAATTCATGCTACAGTTGTATGTTGTGAGTAGTAAAGGGTGTGAGGAATCTTCTAAAGAAATGTACGTTGCATTTTTTCTTCTTCTTGAACACAATTCATGCTACAGTTGTATGTTGTGAGTAGTAAAGTGTGTGAGGAATCTTCTAAAGAAATGTACGTTGCATTTTTTCTTCTTCTTGAATTGGCTCTTGTATTTTGCATTAGGTTATACCGCATTTTGCAGAATAGACTGTATTTTCTGTGTTTTCCATTGGGTTGTATACAGGTGTATGATCATGAATGAACATCATCCAATTGGCACTGATGAAAGTGACCCTACGAATGCAGAAATGACTTACATGTATAATAATCGGGAAATTGATCAAACTACATCTGGGGTTTGAACATCATACACCTAAGATCTGAAGTATTAACATCTTACACCTAAGTTTTGAACTATTTAACATTTTACCTATATGCCTACCCCAATTAATTGGTAAAAGACTATGATGATAATGAACATCTTACCCATATTTTTTTATCTAATATAGTGCATCTTTCTTTTGATCAAAGTTCAAACAGCCCATCAAAATGGGTTTTGAAATTTATCAAAATACACCTAGGGTAAAATGTTAAATAGTTTAAATTTTAGGTGTACTTGGATAAATTTCTTGTAAATATGTAAATTGCCTTAATGGCAATAGGATACTGTTTCAGACAAATAATAAATAAATCTAATTCTTTTTGAAAATCATCATTCATTTTTATGGCTAGGAGTATGATGTTTGCATGGTGTTAATCAATTCAATGGAAAATCCCAAAAATTAGTGATGAACCATAGCCATTTCATTGCTCCCCCTGTTATTTGGCTGCACATTTGAACTAGTTTTACAAATATGTCTTTCTTATAGACTTTCGGAAGTTTCTTAACTATTTGATCCCAACCTCCTTTTTTTTTTTTCGAAAATGTAGTGTGTGTATGAAACGTACAAATGTGAGCTCTCAACTCTCGGGAGCTGAAATGTGCACTGATTTGTAAAAAATTGTGGAGTATGAACAAATTTGGGTGAAAAATCCCACATGCATGAGGATGACATGACACGTACAAAAATGTAGTTACCCTCATCCAAGGGTGGTTGGTAACTTCAGAGGGGTTGAAAGCCCCCTATTTGGCAAGATTGTCCGCAATGTGTTTGGCTTTGCACCAGATATGGTAAAAGCAAACTTCAATGGGTCCACAAGTTGAAAAAATTGGACAAAGATGAATACTCCATGGGCAGATGAAGGTATAATTTACCCAATTTGTTATGTTATATGTCTCTTTTGACCACTGCCACTAGTCTGGTGCCCTGCCAATGATTGAACACTTTGAGTTGTTCCTTTTGGTCCCGAGAAGGACAAGAGAGTCACTCCTTGTCCTAAAGACTTCCGTGCTCCGCCTCCCTTGCCACCCCCATGCCTGCTTTACCAGGATTTCCATTGGAGCACCTGTTGAAAAATCAACTTGATATAGTCCAATTCTGGTGGGGGTCCTAGTGAAAAGATTTACCCGTTTGACTCTGGCATGATCTTGAGATAGCAGCGCAATTTATTTGAAAGTCAGTTGTAGTATAGCCTTTGAACTCTTCTTTTGCTGTCTTGAACATTCGATTAGTTGCAGTCTTTAGTCCCAATCTTATCAATGTTATATTCTTTATAATGTTCCAACTAATTCAAACTATTTCATATGCAAGTTCATGTTAGTACGTAATTTGTTTGAGCAGATTTATCGGGAATCAACTGGGACTGCTCCCTTAGATGATACTGGTTATGGAGATCCTGTGCAAAAGGCTGAAGCCATGGCATTTCGTCGAGCTTGTGCACGGCTCGGCTTGGGGCTTCATCTTTATCACGAAGATGCAGTCTAGGATGGAACACCATGTTACTTTTTGCCTGCTTTTTTGAATGGTTAAGACAAGAAAGAAAAAGCAGCCCAATTGCCTTTACTCAGGTATGCACACTTCTCTCTAGTGCTTTCAATTTTGGACATTCATACAAGCATATAGGGTAAGGGTATCCTCCTGTTTATGTTTGTAACTCGTGAATTAATCAATCCATGTATATTTGGTCGTGCCATCTTTCATGTGCGATCATTGTAAACCTCACTTGTGTTTGTATGTGGAACTGTAACATTGTTTTCCTACGCTGCGTCCTCCTCATTTTGAATTGCCTCTTTTGTAATTTATAATCAAGCCAAAGTGCAAGGCAATCCTTTCCTCATATAAGAAAGTTTTTGCTTTGCTTTTGCATTTGAAAGGCATAGATTGTTATGAGTTTCAATCATTTGTGTAATTTTGATGAAGCTGTTCATTGGATTTCTTGGCAGCGTGAGTTTGATAAGAATTGGTACAGGTTTCTATAACCTCTAGTTCCTTTCAATTTATTTGTTCTCATACAACTGTTTGCGACATATCAGATGTAATTGTCATCTGATGCCAAAGACATTAACTGGGTTTTGTAGAAATAGCAAACTACCTCTTTATCCCAAGGTTTTTGCCTTCTTGATGGAACCTATAATCTGCGAAGATAATTTCCTATAACCTTTGGTTTTGTATATTTTTTATCATATATAGACCCTCTTCTTGAGACTTGGATTATGTTGAAAGTTTTGGACTGTGTCTGACCTAGAGAGAGAGAGAGAGAGAGAGAGGGAGGGAGGGACTTTGTAGTCGCTTAACTGTGTGTGGTTCGTTAACTGTTACCATTCAGGTTCATCTGTGATTTTGTTCTAAATCATATTCTTCTGGGCAGTGGTTTTCACTCAATTATTAACTATTTTGGCGCCTTTCTAATGGGAAAGGTTTCTGTACTTCTCCTACATAATAGAAGTTCTATGCTTCCCCTACCATCCAGCCGTCTAATTTTGATCAAGAGAGATTTTGATCAAGAGAGCCAGTCACCGTTTGATTTAGATATGATGTCTCAAAAGTATTTTATTTTTAGTTTTATTATATAAATTGTATGAATATGAAATTTGGTACGTGTCATCTTCTCATTTGGACGCACCTATAAAAATTATTAAAAATAATTTTCGATAAAATATAATAACCAAAATACCCTTGAAACATTCAGGGGTATTTTGGTTATTTTGCTTTATTGAAAATATTTTTTTTATATTTTTTTCTAGTTCGAATTTAATAGAGGAATGGACGTCCAAAATTTGGTATCAAAATAGTTTATAGAAAAAAATTACAAATAAAATAGTGTATAAATGTGACATTGTGATTGGGGCAATTTTAACCGTCCATTCAGAATAGATGATTGGATAAGGGGAAATATATAAGTTTTATGCTGTACGAGAAGCAAAGAAAACTTGACCCTTTCTAATATCTTTGTCCATCTTAAATTTTTAGACATACATCATGCTGCTTAAATATTTATTTTTTTCCTTTTACAAAAAGGTTATACGCACCCTAGGGGTGTATATTTACTCACTTGCTCGGGTAAAACTGTGTAGGAGTCTTTATAGGACCCTAAGTTTTCAGATATAAACTCAACAACCTAGCAGCCAACCTCAAAAAGGAACCTCCATATGTGCTTGAAAATTATATGATTTTAAGACTAAGACTGAACAGAGATCGACCAATTTTTGGACAGTCACATAAGTTCTTAGGAACTTAAAAATCAATGACAGTCTTTTACCATATTCGTATCGTGATTCTAAAAACAAGAGATTAAGATTATACTTTGAAGGTTACACTTTTGCCCAAAGGAATATGTATGCCATGGTGGATTATGATACACATTTTGTTTTTCCTTGAATTGCTTTTTCTTTTGGAAAAATATATAAATAGATTATTTATATTGAGTACAAGGAGGTTATAATCAATTTTGTTTATTGGATTATAAATTGAGCGGTTACCAGTGTGTTATTGATTAGAGTTAAAAGTTCAAATGAATTTTTTTTTTTTTTTAGTGTGGTACATTCCAAGCCATCAAATTAGACATTTAATAAGATTGTGACCTTTATGTAACCTTGGTAAATGGTCTGGTGTATAACCGCTTTGTCTTTTGTGCTTATTTTTTGGCCTAATGCCAAAATTCGTGCTACTTGGCCTGCACTATCGAGTGTGATGTGATTGACGCACTACGGTTTTTTAGCCAAAATAGTAATAAGGAGTTGTGGGGAATAGAGAATTCTAGGGACAGAAAAACAAGTGGTCTCATGAGAAAAAGTTTTGTCAACTTGGCCACCCTATCTGATCCCTAGACACCAAATTAATTCTAAATTAACCCATAATACATGGAAAAGTATTTTTGAAGGGCTGCCACTTTACAAACTCACACCTCAAATCTTCCAGAAAATGTAGATCAGGTGTTAGAAACCTTTCAAATTGAGCAACTCTGACGTTGACTATCATTAGATTTAAAAATAATTTTTTAATTCTTAAAACTGGTCTATTTTTTAACACATTTTTTGAATCAATGTTTCATCCTTTTATGAAAGGAAGAAGTTTATATAAAGCCGAGGTTCTAAACAATCAAATTAGAGTTTACCTTCACCATTTCACTAGAAGAGGTTGTTTGGATGTTCAAGTATTTTCAAATTGATCATCTTGACATCAGGATGTATGGGCATGAGAAAAAAATGGAGTTTGAGTTTTGGAAATAGTGCATTTTATAATGCATTTTTGGATTGTTAATTTTCAAGTTTTCATAGATATACTCGATTTACATTATTTTTTAAGCTTTAAAGTTTAGGAAAATTATCGTTAATATATTTTAATTTAAGAAAGACACAAAAAAACCCCCAATTTCTCAAAACCTTGTCCACACTTTTTTTCCAAAGCTAATATCAGCGCTATCATTTTCAAAAAATTTATGTTCCCATGGGAGGATGATGTGGATCTACTCTTTCGCTCAAAAACACCTATTTAAGCATTTCGTTCCAAAATTTTGAGAACCATATAAAAATTAAGTAGAGATTATATCTTAGAAATTTGAGATTTGAAAAATTACAGTTAGCGTGGATTTTTGTCGAGGGAGTAAATAAATAGTAGGCTCGAGAGGGTGAAAAATCTTTCTTATTGAGTTGGGCAATATTACGGTAATTAAAGTGCAGTAATGGATGTTTATATTATTATACTGTAATTCTATCTCTATTTACAACAGTATTTTAATTATCGTAATGGTTGCAATACATTACGGTAGAAAGACTATCGTAAAGGGTATTTTTGTCCAGAAAATGTTGAAAATTGGGAAAAAGGGTGTAGGTGAGGTTTTGGGATGTTTGGGGTTTATTTTACGATTTTCTTAAAATTAAGGTATATTAACGATAATTTCCCTAAATGTTATAATTAAAGATGAAAATATTTTTTAAGACTCACAAAGATTTTCAATATTGAAACATTATTCCTCGACACTATTTGAAGGTAGGTTGTAATTTGATTGTTTAGAGCCTCGGCTTTATAAAAACCGCATCTTGAAAGGAAATCATCAAATATGAACCATACATGGTTAGTGAGTTTCCGTTTAAAACATGTTTTTTTTAAAAGATCTTTAAAAAATCAAGTTTTTTAAGTGGAATCAATATAAATATGTATTTTATCTTTCTTAAGAAAAACTTTTCAAAGAAACTTCTTTCCTATAACTTTATTTCTTCATTAACTTAATATTATTAAATTTTAGTTTAAAGACACATTAACATAGGAGTAAATTGAGAATCTGAATTTAGCTAAAAATTCCATCAAAACCAATAAGTTGGTTTAAAAAAGGTGAGCAAACCAAAAAAAGATATCAAAACAATCATATATCTCAAAATAATAAGTAGAGTGAGAAGAAGAGAGCAACCTAATAAAAAATCTAATCTTTTTTCCTTTTTTTTTCCATTAAACTCCTTGCAAAGAACAAAAGAGAGATTTACTAATGCTCAAGATGTAGGTAGCTAGGAATTTAGTGTCAGATTTGATTTGTTTAAGCATTTTGTTGATGTTGCTTTCTTCATGAATAGCGAAGTTTGATTTAATTTTTTTTTTTTTTTTTGTTTTATTGGCGTATACAATATAGTATTTTAGGTGGACCATTATTTTACATATTGCGGTCTTTGTGTTTTGTCCTATATTGTGGGTAATTTTTTTTCAACCTTAGTATACATTTCTTGTTATTTACTAATGTAATTCTTCTAGTCAGTATTATTTTTGTTGTTTTATTTTATGCTCTCAATAAATCTATGATGTTTTGTATTATGATAATAGAGTAAGCATTGTAATTGGATTTATTGAAAGTTTAGACAATAAATTGTCAAGTATTACTTTAATGACACTAGGTGGGCCCCAACATTATTGTTCAAGGACTTTAATATATCTATACAATGTGTGCATCTTATAACTCTATATTATGTCATCTTTACGTATCCAATTTTTTCACTTTGTTTTTTTAGCGAGATCAAAAATATTTACGTCCTTATTTATTTGGCCATCCATATTTTTACCCAATTTTTTCTCTCAACTTTTTGAAAAAAAATCGATTTATTACCATTGTTTTGGTTTGTGGATATATTATTGTGACCTTACGATATTTGGAGCTTAAAATTTTTTAGACAAGCATCAGTGCCATAGCTTTAACAAATATCGTAAAACCACATCCTTACTGGGACTAAAGCTGGCAAGAGGGGGGGCCCTTGCACTGGTCTCGACTCAGCCCTTGTCCCCATGGGGCCGGCCCAGGCCAAAGAGGCCTTGGCCTAGATTTGGCAAACACAATTAAAAGAAAAGAAAAAAAAAAGGGCTACGCCATACCAAATAGGCCGTGCCAAACTTGTTTTAGCTTGGGCCCGACACTTGGACCACATTATGTGGCCTAAGCCCTAATTTTTTCACTTAGAAATATAATTATTAATTTTTGAACTTTTTGCAAAAAAAAAAACTCAAAATTATCCATCTATCGAATTAGCATTCAATGTTGGCCTCTCACTCAATGAAGTACCCATTTTACCCCTTTGGCATCTTAAAATGACAAATTTGCCCCTGGGTCCACTCATGGGCAAGTCTCATGGAGAAAAAGGGTGGTTGAGGGGTTTCCCTTGACTTTACAGCTGGAGGCTGCTCTCGACCTTTTTATGTTTTTATCACACTTTTTGCCTCTCAAACTGATTCTCAAGGGAGCACCTGCTGGTCCACCTGCCTGCTTCGTAAGACAAAAGCA